CCGGCCAGCACACCTAATTGGGAGCTTTTAGGTGCGCTGCGGGTCTGAAGCGCCGCCGCCGACGGCGGGCAGAGGGTGCAGGAGAGCCAGCTGATGTCACCGCACACACCTTATCCGGCGTCAGTAAACATGGTGCAAATGGCGAATCCCGGCGCAGGCGGGTACTGGCCGGGCTCGTCGAACGTAAGACCTTCTATGTGAACTCTGCAGATCAACTGACCTTTCCCAGTAGACCTCCCATGTTGGCTGACCTTTCTCAGCTGACACTGCAAGTCGACCGATCCCATAGCCGATCGTGTGCAAAGAAGGTACAGCAAACGATAAATAAAACACTATGGTGACGGCTGTGCTTCAGAAAACATCCGTCATTGGAATTGTGTCGTGTGCTGTGTTGAGTATAACTACCTGAAGGCCAGAGTGCAGAACCAGATTGAACCAGGACCACATTGATTAACTGTTATTCTCTGGGCCAGATAAGATCGGCGTGTTTTTCGTCACGAAATCACGGCCTGTCAGAGGCAGATGGCACATCAAGTTAGCTCGTCAACAGTTTGGTGAATGAAACCATCCATCCCACCAAGGGAGTGGAGCTCCCAAGTGATTTGGCGAAGGAAACAACACTGGTTCTGCCTCGATAAACACATTTTGCGCCACATGAATTCGAGCGCCACCATCAACAGCAAGTGGGATGTCATCTGTTTATTTATATAGCCGACCAGTTCTAGGAAACATGGGTCACCTTATTAAATATTCAGCACCAGCAAATAATTATCGGACACATCGGAAGCAACTTTCATCTTAATTGCTATAAATAAACAGCGAACACATACGAACATTGACGTCATAAGTCTCCCAATAAAATGACCATCAAAGGGGTGCTTGCCGCCGAATAGTGCATCATCCAACGGGTGATGCGGTCCTCAAAGAAATCACTGCGGCTGTTATAGATAATTGGAGCGGACCGGGTGCCATATCAAATACGCAGTAGCCCGACGGCAATAAAAGGATTGGTATGCTTGTGCACGTTATAAAGCAACACAAGAAAAAATGTGTACCTTTCTATCTCTAATGCCCCACACCAAGTAAGCCCATAAATCCTTCACACCACCCAGTCGGTCACCTAACCACTGAGTGTCTGCAGTGTCTACCACCAGACCCTGATGACGTCACGAAACTCATTTCCACCGCCGCTGCGTTAATTACACCGCGTCACATTTGCATCATCTGTCACTTTCACAGCGCAGAAGCCGGTGCTTCAAAAACGTCGCAGCGGCGGTATCAAACACTCTGGATCAGTGGCTAAAAACATCAGACACCAACGCGAAGGGGTGGCTCGTAAGAGACAGAGAAGAGGAAAGAAAGAGGTAGGGAGAGATAGAGAGAGAGAGAGAGAGACATAGATAGAGGAATAGAGAGAGAGAGAGAGAAAAAAAGAGACGGACAGACTGACAGAGAGGATGGAGAGAATGGGTAAAAAATGTTATTTCCGCGAAGAAGAGTTTGTGACTCAACAAGGACGTTTTCAGATCGATCGGACCAAAACGAACATTTTCATCGTGAATCGAAGTAGGTATTCCATGCAATTGACAACCTAATAAAAGACTTAACTTAATAACATGCTCAAATTTGCGAAACATTGATAACAAAAAGCATGCAGTTAAACTTTGCTCGCAACATAAAAAACCTAGCAGTAAAAAGAAAAAAGAATCAGGAAACCAAACATATTCATGTATCCCGTGCGGCTCCCGCTACGGCCAGGGACCGGTCATAAACTATGGCGGCTGATGAATGAGCTCTTTGTCAACAAATGAAGTGTGCGTGTTACGTTAGGACATCCTACGAGCCGAACGGATGACTCAATAACTCAGCGGGAATGGTCAAACAATGACACTGACGACCTTGGTTGGCCTTCCATCAGCCCTGAAGAGCTCAGCGCAGTGGTTGACGATGATTTACCACCGATGTCTCAAGAGGGCCACGACACTCAACATCTGGGCGGGACATGGACTTGAGACAGGGAAAATACAGACCCCGTTGGTGTGGGGACACGACTATCGTCCTGGGGAAGGGAAGTAGATCCGCTCTGGGGAGGGGCCGGACCCGTGGCAGCCCATTCAGACAGCGGGTGAAGTCAGCGAATCCACAGGTGGGAGGTCGGCGGCAGGCGCAGCTGTTGTCTGATGTTGTTCCGGGACAGGACACAGCCGCGGTCGGGCGCCAAGAAAGGCCGATCATGGCGGATACCGGCCAACAGAGGCCGAGAGAGGTCAATAGAAGCTGACAGAGACCGAGAGAGGCCCAGAGAGACCGACAGACCTGATCGAAATACAGTGCAAACTGGTGGCAAAGAGGAAAATCGGACAGGACGGGAGAGTAAGCCGGCCTGATTGACAGAATGCATGCAACCCCCATTGGTCAAACAAGGCTCCAGGACAGATGGATAGACGTTCGGACAGAAGAGTAAATGTGAATCGGCTTTGGAGAGCAGACAGGCAGACGGCAGTTCAACTAACCGACGCGAAGAGGCACTTGCGCTGGACAGACCTCGCCTACTTACTTCAATAAACGGCGATCCAAGATATTGACCAACAGCCCACAGCCCTGAAATTGTCTAAACAGACCGCTAGTGCCTGATCAACCAAAATGAAATTGAGTTGATCAGCTGGTATCCAAAAAGCACAAAAATGTGTCACACAGAGAAATGGAGTCGAAACCAGCCACTGCCGGACGCCGACGTTGTGCGTTGAGTGCCGAAAGGGTATACGAGACCTGACACCTGTGCGGACCACGACAGCTGCTAAAACAGTCCAGAGTCTGGCACTGTATCACCACTAACACACTGCCGTCGACACAGATGAGGATCTTTTTTTCATCTGCAAAAAAAAAGAACAGCGTTTCAGCAAGTGCAGCCGCAGCTGAGGCCTTGTTTGCTGAGTCGGCCAGCATTTGGCGAAATCTATTTCATCTTGGCGTTCTGTAGCGTGGCGAGCTCCTACGATCTCATTAGCTAGCCAACATAACCCCGCGGTAAAACGCACAGGAGCGTGTTGGCTCCACATCCGGGAAACTCTGGAGGCAAATTAGCGTCGGGTGCATTTCTGGGCTGCGATCTGGCGGGTGGGCCGGCGCGGCGCGGCGGGACACGGTGGCAAATGGTGGCTATTCCAGCCGTCTCGACTGACCATTTGTTCTGCTGCCCGGCCGCGAGCCAGTGGCGATTTCGCCCCGCGCGAGCCACGATAAAAGTCGACGTGGCGGCGGAAACAAAGCGGTGGGCGCGTGGCACCCGTCTCAGTTGCCGCCGTTTGCCGCCGCTTTCCGCCGCCGGCTCGGTCGAAACCGCTGACGCCACCTCCCCCGAGCTTCGAGCTGAGGCCCGGAGAGGGCTGGGCGAGGGAGTGAGACGAGCGTCGAAAAGTGCCAGAAATACGCACGACGGCGCCATATGGACGGATATTTTCCCACCTATCTCGCAGGAGCGGTAGAAAATCGTCTCGGAACAGCGCCAAAAGAGAGGAGCAGATCGTATTTCCAAGCCAATGAATGGGCTCGTCGGAACCGCAAGGTTCGTCGGTCTTCCACAAGGGTGCCGATGCGCGGAAATCCTTTCCGCCCTGTTCAACATCACCGTTCTAGCCCGTGACGCACGTGTCACGTGGCATGATGACATCACCACCAGTTCCAGCAAGGGCCCGTCACATTGAATGGCGACTGTTTCGGCGCTTAGCGACCGGCGGACGTCGCCTCACCGTTAGCGTACGGTTCTTTGCATGGTCGGCGACCGCCGGAGCTGGCAGCCAGCACTGGTTGCATCATTGGTCATCGGAAAACCACCGCCAAACCAAACAGCAGCTGGTGATCTCTGTGATGTACAGACGTGCGGCTGTGGCCCACTGAACTGCAGAGACGAACCACAGTGCCGCCACACCACGGCGCCCGACGAAACGGCGCAGGTGTGTGAGATCGAGTTTGAGAGGGATCGTTCGCAGGAATTGCCGTCAGACTAATCAATTTGGACGAGAAACGAGGTGAACTCAGAAGCTCCAGTCTGGAAAATTGCCGATTAATGATGTCAACTTTTCGAGTGTTTGAGTTTTCCTGTGTTTAGGTCAATGTAGGCTGATTAGATTGATGTTGTGCCATCTTCCTTAATGATATTTCCTCATGGAGTACACTTGAACAGCGCGTGACATTGTGCGATGATTCAGACGATTATCATTGCAAGGAAAAATACGGTTGCAACAATGCATATTTGAGCGGCTTACAAAAGGTGCTTAAACAACATAGGTTTATTCGCTGTGAAGATTATAACAGTTCGCATAGCAACACCAGTGTGTTTGCCATTGGTAAGTACGGCTTGCCGGCTGAGTTTATAAGGAACACAAATTGCGTCAAGTTGTAGATAATCCGTAAACAGATGTGACATCCATTGCATTGCTAGGTGTTCGTGATGTATGGATATAGCAACAAAGGACAAAAACAGAACTAAGACGATAATACATTAAATTTTTTGCATCAGATTCAAACCTGACAAATGGCACAGTGACAACGATCCCTGACAGCAACAAACAAACAACTAACAAGTTTAACAGGAATTTAACCTCCTCTGGAAGCGTTTTCATAAAGAGTGTCTTTGTTCATTGAGAATGTCGTGTGGCTTTGAGCTTAAGCTTACGTATGCTCTGCTGAAATACTAGGACACAAGTGTGTTCAGTGTTCACAGCAATGGAAAAATGCCTGGGTAGTGGTTAGCCCAGTACAAAGTTGACCTGTTATGCGACCCTTCAGTATTCACGTACAAATTACTAACCTTTGTTGAATGAATACGAAATATTTAATAGAAATTACACAAAACGAAATGAAATAAACTCGTGCTCAAACGACTCGCAAACATCTAAACTCCACATTAAAAGCACAACAGTGCAATACTCCCCACACGAAAGTACCAGCAAAGGACATCTCCCTCGCCGGTCAGTATCTAAGCTCCCCTGTTGACTGACCTTGCACGGCGCTGACCTGCAGGTGCAGCAGGTTTTTGACCTGGTCGGTGCTGTCGACCAGGCGCCGCCGGAACTCCCTGTGGACCACGTCTCGAATGCCGTGCTCCCAGTCCCGAGAGCAGCACGAGCCCGCCTGGCACACCTCACTGGATGCCCCTGAAAGAGAAGAGACGGGACGGGTCAGAAAACTGGGCACAAGTCAACGGGTGCTTCTGAAAAAGGGAACGACATCGGCCAGCAGAGAGGGACTGGGACATCTTGAGCACAGAGGCTGTCACAGAGACTTGACTTGTAAGAGACTGTCGAGCCCGAGGGGAATGTTTAAAATGAGGAGGACATGCAGGGACATTAACTTATTTAAATCACGTATAGAGGTGAAGATTATCGCTCAACCCTGTTAGTTCAACCCTGATATTGGGATCGGCCGACAACCCTGATATTTCACACACATGAACACATATACATACACGTGGTCAAATGCTTACGTAACCGCACAGGTTTACATTTCGCATGCTCCCACATCTTGTGTAGGCTGTCAGACAAGACAGCTGCTTTGCTAAAGAGGATGACGAAAAAATGATGACAGAGTGCATCTGCGAGCCGTTTTGAGACACCATCCAGAAATCAAAATACCAAGAATATCGTAACAAAACCACTGTTAGCACCATACAGCAAAAAGACTAATCGGTACTTCAACCTCGCAGCAGCATTATCATACTGTAAACTGCTTACATTAACACAAAAAAACTTGGTTCACAATAAAAATCCGCGGCCAGAGCCGCCCCATGGATGTGGTATGAAACATGGCGTCGCTCCAGCATGTCTCCAATCAACTTCGCCCTTTGACTACATCACATGCTGCCCTTGACTGCACCGAATGAGCCAGTCCAGCCGACTCCGGACCTGTCTCCCACTGCCCACCTCAACCAATCCCAGCTGAACCCGGAGTTTCGTCCCCACCAAACTATCGCCACAGAGCGCATGGCTCAGCATCATTTCTCATACCTCCGCCACTGCATTGAGCAGCCCCGGCGTCGCACCTCACTCACGGAGCGCACTTCGCATCCGTGACGCCATAATAGCATTCAATAACGTACGATGACACGGGAGAACGAATATGCCTGCTTTACATTCAAGGCCGGGTCGTCGAGAAGCGCTGTTTTGTCTCGCGCCGGCGCCAGGTCCGGGTCGACCCGAGGCTGGCAAGGGGGCGACCATAACGCCGGGTGTGGCCGGATCCTGCCACCCGTGCGCGCCAGACAAGATGCAGGGCTGCATTTTAATTCCAGACATTAGCTCTGATGTGTGTGTGTGGGAAGCGCTGCCGCAACGCTATCGGATAGACGAGCGGCGCTGAAGATGGATTTAAATGATGTTTGCCGGAGATGCCGATGGAATTTCAAGTGGGTGAACAATAACAGCGGAGGTAGCGTCACGTTTTGAGCGCCGGAAAGGCAGACAATGCGCGCTGCGCTCCCGTCGAGCTGAGTTTGTCCGTGGGCACCAAGAGAGGTCATGGCGCTTATCATGGGCTGTGCTGAGGCGCAAATGATTCACAGGGGCGCGGCTGACGTTTACGCGACACACCCACCCTCATACCTCCACCCCAGGGCTCCGCAAGTCCACAGTAAATCCCACACAGTGAGAGGGCGCAACAGTGCCACGTGGGGCTCCTCGCTGCAGCGACCGACCCATAACACACCGTTCACAGTCGATTACAGGCGCTCAAAGTCAGCATAGCCTCATGCAAATACTCGGCGGCAAATTTTCCACCACGGCATCAAACGCTCGCCGCCAGGGGCTGTTTAACCGTATTACATTTCCGAAACTGTCGCTATTTCTCGTGCAACCATTCGAAACAGCTAGAAGCAATATCATAAATCAGGTAGCCATCGGGCAATGGCATGGTCACATTGCATCAACTGCTGGGTCGGGCCGATCGTGGCTAGATGCAATAACCACCCCTGGAAAATAACGTGGCCGATAACACAGAAAGCAATCGACACGCCGGTGATGGCTGGGCCGCGCCCGAAGCTAACGTCAGAAAACCAGGTGCTTTGTTTGGTGAGTCATCGGGCTAGCTCGGAGTTTTCCGTGTCCGGACAGGTGATCTGCTGTGTGACCCAGACAAAGGATATGTCCTTTTTAGTTTTTACGCTTATAAGTCGTTCAACGGGATAACATATTTTGCGGTCACTTAACTCCCCGAAACACGCAAACACAGCACTTGCTTTGAACGAGTGTGGAAGCTTATTTTCTCTTTTTTTTTCGAAACATTTTTTTTTTCAACGGCTGATGAAATGCAGGATCGATGTCGGACTGGCTGCCTGGCTGTTTCGAGTGGGCAGCCCCCATCCACGTCGAGAACTTTTCCAATTCCGCTTTACTAGCAATTTGTCCGGCGGAAACAGCCCATGGGCCACGCTGTTTGGGAATGAAGCCGGGCAAGTTGGCCTCTGGAACAGCCTATTACGGTCTCTGCTGGTCCAACTGCACCCGAACATTTGAACACCGCTTTGACAGGATGATGGTGTAACATTGCGATCAACGGGTTCGCCGTTTGCTAATAGGGTCAGCAGCTATAAAACGACAAACTTCGTATTTAGTACGACAGAGAGCTGTTGTAAATTAGCATCAAACGGTGCTACTCTAACATGAAATCTTGTACCCTGACGTAAAACTACACTTTTATCTTTATGTCTTCCTAATGTAAAGCTTTTACATCAATTTAATGCAAAACAATAAAATGCCAAAGTAATGCGGAATACAACTGCCCCAAACTCTTCCGAATTCCACGAAGCCGCCGACTAAATTAGCCGGTCTGTCCCCCGGCTGAGCGGCTGGCTGTCAGTTAAATTGGGCTGTAGCTGCGGTCAGTGAATTAGTGAAACTCTCGGTTTGGGCTATCATTACTGCAGTCATTATCATCAAATCTAAGTTATGGAAAACACTTAGGCCATACCGGCGCACCATTAGTTGCGCTAACCATGCGATATTTACAATTGGCTTCCTCGGCAGCCATGATGGACAGGTTAATTAGAGAGCCGTAACAGAGCCACTAATAGGATAACCCAATCCACACACCCAAGTGCTAATTTGTGCTACTTGAAGCAGCCACCGATAGGATTGTTATGGACAATTGTCTTACGTGTAATAACAAGAAATCCAACATCATAACCAGCCATTTTGTATGATTGAATATCTGTGACACGGAACATCATGTAAATTCGATCTGTGGCAGTGGATATTGAAACTTAGTACGTCTATTAGGCTATTATTACGTGTACTTATCCAAAAACCATAAAACAAATCTGCTAACCCCAGTGTGTCCATTTTATACGGAACCATAAATAGGCCAATGACGGAGTTTAAAAGCCACTAATTAATTTTTCCCAAAACTTAACTGCCGATTTGTGTCTTGGATTGGGGCTGACTCGTCCTGGCGGCCCCTGGATCCATTACAAATACTAAGCATCGTGTGCCCCACGTCATGACCGGGCACAAAAACCATCGCTCTCCATGTAAGCATCCAAACTAACCGCTCGGTGTATGTGCCCTGTCGTGACCTGCCGTCGTTACGGCACTCAGTCTCCCAGAGCTCCGTGGCCGTTTCCAGTAATTGTCTGCACACCTGTCCCGACGTGCACAGCTCTCGCACTGAGCCGGAGACATTTGTAAGCGGAAATGACAGCCGGGACAGTGGAGGAAAAACGGGCGACCGAGAGTAGATCCGTCTGTTTTCGGCCGCTGACAGAGCTCGAGTCGCGGGGTGCAGTGTTCGCGGGGTGTCCATCAGGAGATCCCAGGTCAGTACGTGGGGAGGGAGGGGGCGGGTGGCCTCGGGGACTGGCCAAAGGAGCACGAGCCCGGCTCCACAGACAATGCACGCAGTAATATCGGCGCAACACGCGATCAGTGAATCCCCACCGTTGCGGCCATCCCTCACTAGTCTATGGAGCTGGCCTCAAAACCATCAGAAGCGATCCGTTCATGTCAACAGGTAAAAGGCCCATTTCCGTCCAACTTTCGTCGTGATAAATGATATCCATTTTGCTACGTACACCCTTCTCTTCGCGATATTTTTAGTAACTGGTGCACATACTCTACTGACTATACCCACATGACAATATCGTCTTTGGTCGATGAAGCGTCCGCGTATACTCGCCCCGCTTTCGGCGATTCCATTCCAGCGCACCGACGAAGCCGGTCCTCGGACAATACCGATGGCTATAGCCGCCGGCGCATCGCCATTCTCGTCGGGTGCGACGCGCCGACGCGTCGATAATCCAGACGACGTGAGCACTGTTTCGACAAGACAATACTCCATGCAGAAGTATTGGACACGCCGATATAGAAATCCCCCTTCACCGTCGTGAGCAGCGTTCCGTGAATGAACTGGGAACCCTGCCGGTGAGTTTGAGTGAGTTTGAATGAGCCCACGCCGTCTTTCCACTCGACCCACGCGGGCATCGCCCCCACGCGCTGCAGCTCACGTGGATCTCTTCCGACGTAAGCCCGACCTGCCCACGGTGCAATTGAACTCGGAGTAGTGTCCGCCGTTGGACGACTTCAATGTCAAGTTGTCACGCGCGTCGTGCCCAGAATAGCACTTACGGACCAACTTGAAGTGTTTTATGACTGCCTTGCTCGGGTCGGAGTCGTGCGAACTGCGGACTCTACGACGGACGGCGGCGTACCGTCAGATATGCCAGCCAGGTCGGCACGTCGTCTTCGAGGCGCGTGTTGACGGTCTCAGACAGGAATAACTTGGACGTAGTTCGACCGGGCACGGCTCCGGTAAACTGAACTCAGGTCACCGGAAGCCGGACCATTTTCTCCCGAAGCGGCCAAAATACTCCGCGCGGAGTTAGAGTTGCGAGCTCGTTGGTTCGGCCAAGTTGAGCGACGAGTGATTCTAGGAAAATAGTCAGTTGACCGCCACATCCACCGACGACTGACCCGTGTCACGGGGCAACCAGCCGCAGGCAGTATAGAGCGTGGTCTGCTGAGTATCAGCAAAGGCTGCTGACTCGAACAATCGAGAAGAAGGGGACTCAGCCCGTCGCCGAGCACACGGTGAATCATCACCGCCAACCGCGGCATACATCAAACAGGAGAACGACGTCATCACGACGGCCCGTGACGCGTCCCCGCGG